CTAACTGACCTTCATCATATTAAAGGTTTATTCAAGATTTGAAGAAATTCATCATGGTTAAGAAATTATGTTCTGGGACGTTTTGTAAAAAAATTAAAAATAATAATAATAATAAAAAAAATCAAATCTAGACAAGTTCGATAGCAAATTCCTCTACATAATTAGCATCTTAAAAAAAAACCCTAAAATATGAAGAAGAAACAGAGAGAAATTTCGTTGCAACAATCTGGGAGATGTCGATTTTGATTTAGAATTTGAAGGAAAGAATTAAAGAAGAAACAATGGGTGATTTCTAAGTTTGGATTGTATACTTACGGGGTTTTTAATCTGCACTAGTCAAATTGTACATTATTTTGAAATATTTTATAAGTGCCGTGAAAATTATACCTGGGATTTGAGAGCAATAACTGTAATTTCAGTTTAAACATCTTTTATAGTTTTTTTTTTTTTTTTCATAAAGTCCTTGATTTTAATTGTAATTCTCTATATATTTTTTCAACAAATAAGAAAAGATATATTTAAATTGATTGTATCTAAATTATTGGGTAATGTCACAAATATACATTGCATTCTCATTAGATCAAAACTTGTAAAATGCATATTTAAGNTTAAGCTATACCGAACAGGCCCTTAGCATCTTAAAATAAAAACCCTAAAATATGAAGAAGAAACAGAGAGAAATTTCGTTGCAACAATCTGGGAGAAGTCGATTTTGATTTAGAATTTGAAGGAAAGAATTAAAGAAGAAACAATAGGTGATTTCTAATTTTGGATTGTATACTTAGGGGGTTTTTAATTTGCACTAGTCAAATTGCATGTTATTCTGAAATATTTTATAAGTGTCGTGAAAATAATATTTGGGATTTGAGAGCAATAACCGTAATTTCAATTTAAACGTCTTTTATAGTTTTTTTTTCCTCATAAAGTCCTTGATTTTAAGTGTAATTCTCTATATATTTTTTCAACAAATAAGAAAAGATATATTTAAATTGATTGTATCTAAATTATTGGGTAATGTCACAAATATACATTGCATTCTCATTAGATAAAAACTTGTAAAATGCATATTTAAG